AACCTAAAGAGTCCAAACAAGATTGCGAGGAAACTCGCAAGTTTTTGAAAACAAACCTGGATCCAAAAACACACAAAATTAGTAACTTTAGAAACGGGAAAGATGGCTCCATTATTGTTGAGTGTGCAACAGGATACAATGTAAATGAGGTGAAAAAGGGCATTGAAAGCAATTTGGGTGGAAACTACAACGCTGTTGTTCCCACATCGGTGCCAATGTTAAAAGTGGTGGGCATGAGCGATCAGTATTCCTCCGATGTCTTCATTGACTTCTTAAAAAGTCAAAATGAAGACATCGCAATTAATGATGTAAAAGTAGTTAACATGTTTGAAAATCCACGCTTCACTTACAACAAGTTTAGTGTTGTGATTGAAGTCGATATCGAGACGTATAAATGTTTGTTATGTGCGAAAAAAGTAAATGTAGGGTTTGATCGGTGCTCGATAGTTCCCGCGATTAATGTTTTGCGATGCTTCAGATGTGGAGAATTTGGGCACAAAAGCACGGATTGCAAAAATTGCGAACAATGCTCTAGATGCAGCAAACAACATAGCACCTCTAAGTGTACGTCAACTGTATTGAAATGCGTTAATTGTTTAAAAACTAATAAGGAGCGTAAATTAAATCTGGACGTCAACCACGCAGCATTTAGTTCTAATTGTTTTGTGTATAAAAAACTATATGATCAGAAAAAAAGCAGCTTACATTTCAATAAATAGCAACCAAGTTCCAGTAGTAATGTGAGTAAATTAGAGATTTTGTATTTGAATATTGCGGGGTTATCTACAAACTACGTAACATTACGTCAGATTGTAGAAGATAATGGTCCACTTTTGGTTTTGTTAGCAGAAACACATATTGTAGAAATTGAATCTTTTGATCAGTATAGCATTCCGGGATATAAAGCTGCTGCTTGTTTGTCACATTCAAGGCACACTGGCGGTGTTGCTATTTATGTCAAAGAATCAGTTCAATTCAATCTTCGCCAAAACGAAGTTATTGATGGCAATTGGTTCTTAGGCATTACAGTTGAACGTGGCATGAAGATGGGTAATTATGGTGTTTTGTATCATTCTCCCAGTTCAAGTAATCAGCGTTTTATTGAAATTTTAGAGAACTGGTTCGAGACATTTTTAGATTCTAGTAAATTAAATATACTTGCGGGTGATTTTAACATTAATTGGCATGATACTAGCAATTCGAACCATCTGAAGCAATTAGCTGATTTCTTTAATTTAAAACAATTAGTAAGTGAATGTACGCGTATTTCCCGGCACAGTAGAACTTTGATTGACCATGTTTATTCTAATTTTGATTCTGTCAGTTCAGTTACTCAAGCTGATTTGAAAATAACCGATCATGAAACTTTAGTAATTAATGTTTTAGACAGTGTTAACGATAACGATAATTTTGTAAAATTGAAGTGCTGGAGGAAATATTCGAAGCAAGCTGTTTCGAATCTTGTTGAGAGAAGTGTGGATTTTCCATTAGTTACCGGAACTTTAGATGAAGATGCAGCTGTTCTTACTAACGTTTTGAAAACTTGTACCAATAAATTAGTTGAACAAAAGTTTGTTTCTTTGAAAAACTCGAACAGCTGGTACAATTTGGATCTTTTGCGTCTTAAACGTAAGCGGGACAAATGGTACAAAAAGTTTTGTAGATCGAATAGTGATAATCATTGGAATAGGTACACGGTCGCGCGTAATAAATATTCACAATCAATTAAGAAAACTCGATGTGAATATATTCAGAGGAAAATTGATCAGCATCAAAACAACAGCAAAGAGTTATGGAAAATTTTGAAATCTTTGATGAAGCCTAGTAATTGTAAATCGCGGACCATAACTTTTGATGGCATATTAGAACAGTCAGAACCAGTAATTGCTTCTAAGTTCAATGACTATTTCGTTGAGAGCGTTTCACTGATCAATCAATCTATTGAACTGATCAATGAACCGGACGAAATAAAACAGCCGATTAATAGTAATTGTAGATTTAATGGTTTTCACCCAATTACATTAGATGAACTTAAAAATATTTGCTTTTCATTAGGAAAAACGGCTGGAGTAGATAATGTTAATGCTAGAGTTATTCAAGATTGCTTTCATGTCATTCGACACACTCTGCGGGACCTTATTAATCAATCATTGCAATCTGGGCACGTGCCGCATATTTGGAAAGAATCTTTAGTTGTTCCTATACAAAAAGTTGCTGGGACGATTAAAGCCGAAGAGTTTCGTCCCATCAACATGTTGCACACATTAGAGAAAATTTTAGAACTTGTTGTAAAAGGCCAGCTGTTAGAATATTTAAATAGTAACTGTTTGTTGATACCGGAACAATCGGGATACCGGGAAGGCCATTCTTGTGAAACCGCGTTAAACTTAGTGTTAGCTAAATGGAAAGAAAATTTGGAGCATAAAGATACGATTGTTGCTGTGTTTTTGGATCTAAAACGCGCTTTTGAGACAATTTCTAGGCCCTTATTGTTGAGAACAATCAAGCGCTTTGGCATTTCGGGTTCTGCATACAAATGGTTTGAAAGCTATTTATCTGACAGAACACAAAGGACTGTTTTTAATGATTTTGTATCTTGTCCCGTTGACAATGACCTTGGAGTGCCTCAGGGAAGTGTATTAGGGCCACTTTTATTTATTATGTATATTAATGACATGCGACGAGTTTTACGGTTTTGTGATATTAATCTTTTTGCTGACGATACTGTGTTATTCATTGCAGCTAAAGATTTAGAAGAAGCCGTTTCACGCTTGAATGAAGATTTGCGTTCTCTAAGTAGATGGTTGAAGTATAAACAATTGAAATTGAATATAAGTAAAACTAAATTCATGGTAATTTCGCGGAATCGTGTAGATGATGATGTCTCTGTTGTTATTGATGATGAGACACTTGATCGCGTTCAGGAAATTAAATATCTTGGCGTGATTATTGATGACAAACTCAAGTTCAATTCTCATATTGACGATGTCATCAAGAAAATTGCCAAGAAGTATGGAATCCTATGTCGCTTGAAAAACGATTTAACTATTGGTAGTAAAATACAGTTATACAAATCAATCATCTCCCCTCATATAGACTTTTGCCCTTCCATTTTATTTTTGGCCAATGAAACACAAATATCGAGATTACAGCGTTTGCAGAATAAAGTAATGCGTTTGATTTTAAGATGTAATAGATTCACTTCCTCAACTTTTATGCTGGACGCTTTGCAATGGCTGTCAGTGAAGCAAAGAATTGTGTTTTTGACTATGGTGTTCATTTTTAAAGTAGTTAACAGTTTGCTGCCTCGATATTTGTGTGATCGGATTGAAAGAGGAAGTGATTTTCATAGATATAACACTAGAAACGCGGATGAAGTAAGAACACCACATCTTTTGAATAATGCTTCACAAAATTCATTATTTTTCAAAGGTATAAATGTTTTCAATTCGATGCCTAGACACATCAAGCGTGCAACTACACTTACAGAATTCAAGAGACGCTGCATTTCACATGTAAAAGCTGTTTATTGAGCAGTTAATTTTTTATGAATGGATAAATCATGTATCTTGACAAAGTTATCACTAACGGATTAGTTTGTATGGAGACTGTCATCAAGACATTTTAGTAATTTGTGTAGCATATACAAAAAACTACATTGTTTGCCTCGATGGTGATGATGGATTTTTAGTTTTTTTGATTTTGTAGTAGTAATAGTAAAAATAGCTTTGAGTAGTCTACAATGGTTTGAGCCTCGCGCGCGGAATACAGGTATAAATGACTAATACGTGGAAATTGTGGCAAAAGCCTTAAATTAGTAAAGGATTGGCTGGAAGTCGTTTCCTTGGATATAGTCCTGGCACTGCGGAAGCTTAAACGTGTAAATCCCAGGTCACGTGTAAATGGAAGTATTGTCGAGGACTATACTTGGACTTTTGATAACTAGCTACACCTTTGAATGCTTTTGGTTGATGCCTTTAGCATATTTAACAGGACATTTATATCTGTAATTGTAACCAGCTCGATTTTGTTTGCAAACCTGGTTAAAATGTTTATATTTAATTATCTTAAAGATAACTCGTCCAGCTCAAACCTTTGTAGGGGTAAGAGGTGGGACCATCATCATCATCATTGTAAACAGCAGTCATGTCAATCTATGAACTAAACCCTACGTAAAATCGATCTTTCCTTATGTGGTATTGATGCATGTTTAACTTTTCGCAGCTGTCGGAATCAACGCGCCTACGTCTACGGAGCTAACGCAGAAGTGATTCGCAATGCGGTAGAGCTCACCAAAAGTTTTTTTTGTGCTTCTGTAGTATAGAATTTGTTCAGTACGGTCGCGAAATCTTGAAATGATTGATACGTTCTTTTAATTAACTAATTTAATACAAAGCTCAGTAGAAAATAAGTAGAATATCTAGGGAGAAAACCAAAATTAATCAGCTTGCCAACATACCCAATAAAAAAAAAAAAAAAAATATCTGATTGGAATTTGCGAACCAAATGTAATAGACTTTGCATTCGCATTTTTAAGAAGTTTCTACATTTGACCAAGTTTTACTAGGTATGGTACTAGGTACATAGGACCGAAATAAAGATTACTTATACTGTATTTTAAACCAATATCAAGAAAAATACACGAGAAGTTCGCTAAACAGCTTTACGCAGTCTACATCAACCTTGCGGTTGTGTCTTGTACACAACCCCACAAAAATGGGTCTGGATAAAAGTTGCTTGTTCACTACTGGCTGCTGTAAGAACCACCATTACAGTATTAGTAAGAAATATTTACCGAGGATGCAAGAAATTAATTATTACATATTTTGTACATGCCATTTCTTCTGCGTGTACAGTATGCGAGACACGGAACACACAAAAACATGAAGAAACTCATTTTATCCCACTCATCGCTCAATTCGCCATTCAGAAGACCTTCAGCTACAATTGGTTGCTACATCAATAATGTTCCCCGCACTGCTCCCACTGCCCGTAGTTACCTGGAAATCAAATTCGCCAAGTCCGGATGAGAGTTGCCACTGATGATGCAAATGTCAGAGGTAGCCGGTGCGTCCATTTTATCCAACCTTAGTATCTTAGACGGTCTTATTCCACCAAACCTACAAGAGAAGAAAACAATTCAGCATAACATTATGAACCGCAGGACTATAAACAAACACCACAAAACAATCCAACTCAGCAAAATCTCTATCCGGTTAAAATAAAATCCAAACGCTTGCAAATGGTAGCGAATATGGGTGGAAGAAGAAAGAAGTCATGTTTTTTTTCAAGCAGCATGAAATCCAAAAAAGCGAGGTTATTTTGATATTAGCGATTGCAGCGGCAAGAAACAACGCCAAACGGAAGTTTGCACATAGCTCAACGGAGAAGGAGTAAATAAAAATGTGATCGAGAATTACTTATTTCGGTTCAGAAGCATCGTACTTTTGGTCGACCCTGCTAATCAGTTATGGGGCTGGCCTAACTCTAGTCCCTACAAATATCGGTATCCTTTATACTTATATAATTCGATTAGCAGACCGTCTGCTCGATAAATGCTACACTTTTTCTGCCTAGGAATGGAAGCACTACAACAAGAAAGCAATAGAATACTGGAAAACCTATCCCCGACGATACTTATCCGAAGAAAACCACAGTCAAAACGAACCCAATTCTGATGTACACGCACTGTAAAAGATAATTAAGAAAGCTGTAGAGCTCTGAGAACTGATTTTTGACAGAAACAAAGTGACACTTCCGAGACCTCGAAAAAACACTCAAGAATTTTGTGCGATAACAAAGAGAAAACAAAAACAAATACGCACACATGTAAATAAATCGCAGACTGGCGACGAGGATGAGTTCAAACTGTTGCGACTCGAAGCAGAAAATGTATATCCTATCGCTTGTTCTGTTTTGGTCTGAACACTGCCGATGAAAAAATAATCATCAGACCGCTCTGGCTGCGTGTATTTGGTGCTGAATGTAAACAGTGGATGACAGAATAATGACAGAGGATTGCGTTAAGAGTTCCAGTGAAACGCTTGCGAATATTTAAAAATTCTTACGGGACGGGGTTTGTGTCCGTGATTGAAGCGTTCTGTACCAAGGGCGTTTGTCGGAGTTGTAATTTTAGAAGCGAATAAAACAAATCATCTTCTCAATGGTTTTGTTCGTCATTTGTCTGCAGCCGCCTACCGTTTGTGTTCTTGGTGAGTGAATTCTTCTTCCTAACACTAATAAAAAAAAATACCATAAACGAACTGGAACCCGGATGGTAGAGCTATCCCACAAATGGTTTGGAATTCAAACACATCGTTAAGCTCTTTTTATCTTTTATAATCCACTCGCGTTTGATATTCATTTATTTCACTTTATAATATGACTGAGTCCTGAATAAATTTTATCATGAATATCATGCATAGAAACATCAATCCGCGTAGAAGCATCCAGTGCTCTTTGCGTCAACGCAAATTGCGTTCGTTAGTGATACGCCGGGTGATATGTTGCGGCCGAGGTTGCGGCTAATTGATCGAAATTAATGCTTGTTGGTATTTGTTCCAATCCAATTAATATCCAATGAATTTAATATTTTTGGCTACATTTGGACGGTGTCACAGCACTTACAAATGAAAAGAGCTAGGGAGCGAAGAAATGGATGGAGCATTTCCAGCTCAAAACGATTAAAAATCCACTTTTTTTACAACCCTTTCACATTTGGATTAAACTTTGCACATTCAAAATTATCGCGTGAAAAAATAATGAAATCAATTCGGTATATTTAATCAAAATAACGTCTGAGAAGAAATTGTACACTAGATAAAATAACACATATCTACTATAGTTGGAGATGATTAACGTCAAATATTAGACTTAAAGTGGTTTTATACGATGGATGAGGAGAAAAAGTTGATAGTTCCGTCAGAGTAAGGCAGTGTGAAAATTGTATATGAAGAGTAGAAAGCGAGCAAAGGAAAATTATGAGGAAGGCACGAATCGGGTTGATCATCCCCTTTACCAAACTCCTCCGTTGGGGAAATGATGGTGAGGGGTATAACAGGTAGGTAAATTTGCAAAGACTTACAACAAGTTGCGTTGAATTATGGGATATTCCTAAAATTCTATTAATGATCCGAAAACTTCGTAAGCGTCACGGAATTAGGAATATTTAAAGAACAACAGAGAAGCATGGTTATCTTCCAGGATGCCCAGAGATTTGCAGGGAAAGTTAATGATTTAAGGCAAAGTAGCCATTTATGAAGTTTTCTAAACTTTAGGAAAATTTTGGAAAGTTAGAGGCTATTCAATTAACTTCATTAAAATTGGGGGCACTTTAAAAATACTGAGAAACTCAGGGCAGCCTTGAAAACTTAAAGTGCTGACGTTCAGGCATCGTTTGGAAAGTTTTATTAAGAAAAGTTATGAATTAGTGTCTATAATTCAGAGCAGTTCCATGAGCTTCAGGTTTTTATTTTATTTTTCATGGCAGAAGGGGATTTAATGAAGGCAAAGCCTCAAGTGAACATATAATTGTAACATGGTGATCGATATCATAACTTCGTTGAAAATCTAAGATCAATAATAATTATTTCGTTTTTATTTCAGAAAGATTGAAAGACTTAAATAGTGTTTCAGAAATTTCTGGGACGTAAAGACATTTCAGAAATACTTCACAGAAGTCCAAAGATCTTCAGAAAAACTTTGAGATACGAGTGCATGTAGCTCTATCACTCGGAATAAAATAAAAACTTTAGCGAAGATCCGAAGAACTCCACGAATATTTCATGAATTAGGATAATATAGGAACATTTCAAAGAAGTTTCGTAAGCTCCAGAAATACTGGAACCGTGAAATTTCTATAAATTTCTGGAAATTCTTTGGAAATTTTGAGAAATTCCAAAATTTTCAGGGAAGTTTCCAGATTTCACGGAAGCTTAGACATGACAGTTTGATTAAGTTTATAACAGTATAACGAGCTCCACGGGAACTGCATAAACGTTAGAGAGGTTTCTTGAACTTCAGGAAAAAAACAGAGCACTTCACAGTTCCATAAGCTTTGGAGAAATAACATTTAAAAGCAAAGTTTTGTGAAATTTCGAACTAAAAATTTTAGGTGCAGGTTAGTTTATACAGGAAAAACATTGCTTATACAGCTAATTTTTGCCTGAATAAGCTTGTCTGTAGCTAAAATAGCTTGTTGGGTTTAGCGAATTGTTAAAACATTAGGAGCTTTCAAGTAATCAAGAAAAATTGCCGAAATTTCTTAACAACAGAGAAGATCAATGACAAGCGGCGCTGATGGTGTAGTGGTAAGCGTGATTACCTCTCACCCCAGCAGGCCTGGATTCAATTCCAGTCGGCGCCGCTGGGATGTTCTGAGGCATAACATCTCTGATCACGCCTTCCTTCGGAAGGGAAGTAAAGCCGTTGGTCCCCGGTTCATGAGTTTATGGGTCGATAGGTAGGGTCCAGGTGTGGCCCTCCCCATGGACATGGAGGTTGACGGTACTGAAGCAAAGGGTTATGTTTAATTTCTTTATATTTGCAACGATGATGATTTCCTATAGTGACACATATCACCTTCTTAATGCTTCAGTATACCTCAAACGATTAATTCTTGGTTGTTAATAGAACTTCCTTGATGCAATCGGCTGCATTATGCAGACTGAGCAATTCTGATTATAGTATCAGATTTGTTCTGTATACAGAGGAACTGGGAGGGCTTATTAAAAACTTCTCACCAATAAAGTAATGATCTTCTTGTAAATTTTGCATATAATTTTATTAATATTTTATTTTATTTAAGCATATTATTTTTGTTACAGTCAATTTGCATTAGCATATGATACAAGAGATTTAATATTACTTGCTCGTTTTCGCGTAAAATAATCAATATTTATCTTACTTGTAATAGCCTTTGAAAGTTTTTTTTCAAGTTTTTTTTTGTGATCTGAAAATTTACCCAGTTTGGTTAGAAGTTTCGAAGCTAACGCATGTCCACAGGCCTAATAGAAAGATAGGCAGAAAACGTGTATCATGAAGAATGGTTGCATGCAGGGTTGCTTCCACTCACTTGCTATAGATGAGTGATTTTCGGAGTTTTGAATTCGTTAGATGTTGTAATGGAGATTTGTGCTGTTGGATGCGGGTGGAGATTGGAGGGCGGGTGTTTGACGCATAGAGCCTGTCAATTTCGCTTTCAGAGTGTCGCAGTCAGCGGTTTTATGATTCGTGAGCGCTCGCGATTCGTAGAATCGTTGATTCTGACTGCAAGTGGATTTGACGGGTTTTGTGTGTCGGACGCTTGCTTTTTGGCCTCTTCTTGTGTCTAATATGTGCAGAGTATCATTATAACGTCTAATGGTTTTGAGATTCCTGGTGGCGTGAAATATATTTGTGAGAATATCTTTTTGAGATTTTAGCAGTCACGTTTTGTTTGTAGTTTATATTTTATTTATTTCATGTAATTATCGTAAATAATAGTTATTCAAAGCGCTGTGGGTTATAAGATGCTCGATGACCCTCGAGGGATCGATTTTGCTTACTGAGCAGAAAATCATGGATTTAACCCCAAGCTCTTCCACAGCACAATAAATCGCCACCATCATTTGTATATTTGATATTGAACATTAACCTCGGAAACTATTTGCATATCAAGCGAAAACGTAGTCCTGTATTGTCGCGAAGCGTTATGGTTCTGAGATGCTCGATGACCCTGGAGGGATCGTTTTTGTTTACTGAGCAGAAAATCATGGGTTTAATCCCAAGCTCTCCATCATGACTCTTAAAATTAATTATCACTAAACAAAATTAATATGTTCTTTCGATAGCCGGCTATCGAGAGATTAAATAAACAACAAATAAACAATACATACTTTTGGTTGCATCGCCAACTTGAGGTGAATCCTAACCGAATACCCTACCCAACCCTCCAACTCCGTAGCACTTATGAGAGTGTCGCTAAGTCGGTGGCCTCTCGTTAAGTAAGTACTACATCAACATTTCCTTCCCTATCCCTAGTTATGGTAAAGATGGGCGTGGCCGGGAATAGCGACAGTCATGCTTCTGTTACTCTTGTTTAGATTGGAACCAATGTTTACTCCTCAGCATTATTCCTGAAAGTAGTCTAACTGAGAATTTCAGAAGAGACGTGAGTGTCGCTAGTATCCAATCTACGAAGTATATCATAACAACGCTAACGCTAACGATAGGTAGGGTCCAGGTGTGGGAGCTGCCTCCCTGGCGTCGGTAGCATTGGTGCTAAGCACGGAAAACAAATCAAGGAAAAAAAAGATCAATGACCGTTTGGAAAATTGGGAAACTTTTGGAAAGTTCAGAGAAAGTTTAAAAAATTAAGCAAAGTAGTTAGTTAAGCTTTATTATAGAGACTTTTAGCAGATGGCTGGCTCGTCTCTTTTGAAGAGAAATTTTATTAGCATCAGGCTGGTTTCTCAAACTACAAAAGAGCTTCAAGACAGTTTTGTTAGCTTCAAGAAAATGTTAGGATCTTTCAAGTCATTTTGAATACCTACTGCAAGGATAGTCCAGGAGATTTATCCTGAAAATTCACTTGGAGTTCTACTCAGCGTCATCTTTATATTCTCCCGTAGTTCCCATGGAATTATTCTAAAATTTCCATTAACTGTCTAAATCTTCCTCAGAATTCTCTTCTAACGCTTCTTTGGATTCTCTTAAAATTTCACCGGAATATGTTTGGATTATTTT